GTAGTTAACCTGCCAGCTTTCGACCCCTGTGACTGTAGTAACACATGTAGGCACTTCATACGGCCCACATCGCCTTGATTTATGGGTTCATGTGTCGTCTGTATCCTGCCTCCTCTTCACACATCACCAGCACACATACCCACACACCCACACACACACACACACGGACAAACACACCCTTTTGCCTCAATCTCATGCCACCGAGAGAACACAAACTGGGCTGGCGCCTTCAGCACTTTGCTCTGCGGACAGTTTCTGTCCTCTCGACAGCCTCTTCGCCCCAGAAGAACCCCTTTCCAGCCGTTCGTTTGGTGTCATACTCTCCCCCTCATCTTCCCTTGGACACATTTTCGTCGGCGTCCTCCATTCGATCTCACTTTGGATTTAGCCCTCTTTTGAGCATAGCATAGTTCCCATCTAATTGCGCTGGGGCATTCCCACACATGCGCGAAAACAGTGGGAATCTGACCATACAATCTTCTTTTATCTCTCTCTCTCTTTCTCTCTCTCCTTCCCCCTTCTACCAATTTGATGTCTATCTGGCCGCAACATTCAGCCTTTTCAGCGTGTCTTTACGACCTCTTCGCTGTGTCATCAACACACAACCCACATATCCCACACAAGCACGCATAGCCCAGGCCCCAATCACAGCCACTGAGCGCATGCACATAAACCCACATAAAGCAGAAGACCGGCTATCTTGATTTCTGCTCTGGCACTTATGCCGTCTCGACGAGGGTTCGGTGGGGGGAGGAACACGGTGAATTTGATGTATTGTGTTCACAATCGAGGCTTTACATGTTAACACACGTTATTTTCTACGTTTATTCGCCACATTTTCATTTCTCACCCTCAATTTTTGCCACTTTTGATCCACCAACTCGTGTCTCTTTAGGCAGCATTGCGCAGGGAAGATGGACTTGCAGCATACTCGGACCATGTTATAGACGGTCTTTTTGTAGTCATGGTTATAGTGACTACGAGAGCGTGCGCAAATGTATGCCATTAGTGCTTGTATGTGTGTGTGTGGGCACGGGTAAGATTGAAGCAGAGGGGTTGTTGGAAACTGGGTACCATGTCTCAGGCTTTCACAGTGGACCGGGGTCTTATGATGGTTCTGTCGACGAGGTGAGGAAGTGTGGAGAGCAGAGGCGAGCAGGAGAGAGCATGGGATGAGTGGTTGGGAGGACTGAAAGGGGGCACATTAGGAGAGGGCAACTTGCTGGAAGCTCCAATCTGACAGACTTCTAATTGCCACGGCATCTGGCAACAGACGCATTTCCCTCTCCAACCTGCCGGCGGTAAATCGAAAAGTGTAGCTGGCAGCGGGAAGACAATGTTCAGCAGGTTTATGCTGGGCATGGAAAGAGGTGGTGTGTCAAGACGAATAGATGCTGTATGGGAATTTGTCGAATAAAATGTGTAGGTGCCGATTCGAGTGGCTGTGATTACGAACGTCGGCCAGGCATCTGCCCGACCGTCTGGTATTTGTTGCAGGCCAGAGGGTGGTTTTAGCACATTGTTCAGGATTTATATGTCACATGTAGGAAATGGAAGCAGACAAGTTCTGGCTTGAAAGATGGTGCAACGGATGCATGTGGTCTGGGCCGTGAAAATGGTGATGAAGAGAATGCAAGATGTTGTTAAGATAGAAGACCCAACTGTTGACGTCAAGTCTCGGAGACAGTAGATGAGCCTGTTTCGCCTCATTAATTCATGAAATTCAACTTTTCTGTCAATTTGCAACAATTTGTGGGGCTTCGTAAGAAATCGAGATTCATAAAGGGAAACAAGTCGTCCTAGTTGAATGCATGATGTCGTCGTCGGGGTTAATTTGGTAGCCATTGACACCACCCTCAGTTCATGGTTGATCTTACTTGCTCTTTTACAGAAAAAAAGCCACCCCAACCTGCATTACACTGAGCGAGAATACATGATAAGCACAGTTTCAGTCCTAGTCTTGACATGGACTACAGAGACTTGTAACTATGGCCAAGTTAGTTGAGGATAGCAGGAGCTCCCAGTCATGCCTAAACATGAACTTAATCCTTTAGTGTGACTTAATTATTATTTGAGTAGCTCTTGAATGTCACATCTCTGGTACACATTTGCAGAGTAGTAACATGTCTCTATGATGCTTAAGACTCGGTTTCGAAGACGTCGGTGGATTGGGTGTAGTTGGTGAGACCGAAAAGAGGTCGAAACTTCAGTCAATCCTGGATGAGATGGCATTTTTGAAGAAAGGCCACATGAAAATCCGTGGGAGAACATCGTCTAACGGTCCTTAATCCACCTTGAGTCACCTATTTTGACTAAAATTTCTATTCTTTCATCCAGCATTAGTGATAAACTCATTTTCTCATCTATCGAGTCCACCCTTCTTTTCGTTACCTCAGGTCGTTTCAAAGAAAGACATATGAGATGTATTCGCCCTATTTGATTCAGGGTAAAATGGGCATAACTGAGGTTTCCATTCAATTTCACATAGTCTTGATTCCCAAAAGTTATTCGTATCCCGGTGGGCGTGACCTTCAGTTTCGACCTCGCATGAATTGGTTTCATCAGTATCCCCAGCGGGGCGCGAACCAAGATACTGTAGCACATAATCTCGACACCTTAACCAATACACCAAAGTGCCATGAGTACCATTTGGTTACAGGTTACATCACCTATTGTGGTGGGATTGTCGATGGAGCAAAGTTATATTTGCTATTGAAATCGAGAACTACTTATTTTTCGTATTTGAGTAGAGTTTCGAGACTACCAGTAAATCAGTAATATGAAATATATTCACCCTATTTCGATTAAGGTGTTTAAGGACTGTTTGTAGAATTTTCCCACAATTACATAGATAGAGCTGACGTTTACAGTGAATTTCACATAGCCTTGCTTTCCCAAAAGTTGTTCTCACACCGGCTGGGGTGGACTGCAGCTTCGACCTCGCATCGGTCTTAGCAACACCCCCAGCGGGAGTCGAACCGTGACAATTGAGAATGGGAGCTTGACACGCTAACCACTCGACCACATTGCCATGAGTGTCCTTGGGTCATGGGGCAGATGTGAATTTGATGGGATTGTCGTTCTATTTCGCCTAGGTCCTTCAAAATATTACTTATGAGTAGCCTCTAGAGAGGCTTTTCTTTACATTTTTTTAAGGAGGTCTTCCGGACTGCCATTGTGTGAAAATTCGACTGCTGGTCATTTATTATCCAAACGAAATCGGGTGAATACATCTCATATTACTTATTTTTAATTTGTAAGTAGATTTTCGAGACTACCAGTAAATCAGTTATATGAGATGTGTTCACCCTATTTCGTCTAGATACTCGAAAACCTCCTTAAAAAGGAAAATGTAAATAAAGCCTCTCTGATGACTACTCATAAGTAATATTTTGCAGGACCTAGTCGAAAAAGAATGAGCATTCCAATCTGGTTGGGAAAACTGTTTGATAGAAGAGATTTCGTAAACTTTAATGACATCTTGAGGGCTTCACATACGAATATGGATGAGACTGCATTATCAGCGTTAATTCACCTAGATTGACTAAGTGTTATCGAGAGTAGTGGCCAGCATACCCACGAATAATTGAAGAAACGCCCAATTTTAAATTGAATTATACTGACAGAACATTGCATAAGTCCGGTACCATCAAGTATTGGCCATTATTTAGATCTCATGATTAACCCTATAGTTGATATAATTATATTCAAATCGTAGTAAATGGTAACCATGCTTGTCAGGTCTTTAGCCCACATTACTTCTGCTATAGACTTGTGCAATGGGAGGAAATTTATCATTTAACCGGATAATTTGGTGTAGTGTTGTTGGTATGCAATTAGTCACGGATATCAAGACAAGATGAGCCATTTTCGCTTAGTTTTAAGGGCACCGAAAGTCATTTGGACTTAGTACTGATAACAATTCTCTGGCGAAGATTCTGATGGTCTACTACAG